ACAGAAGCAAAGCCCAAACCACACCCACTGCCGTGGAGTGGATTCTGACTCACAGCGCCCCTAGAGGACAGAGTGGAACTGCACCACAGGGTCTCCAAGGCTGTCAGTCTTCACAGAAGCAAAGCCTAAACCACACCCACTGCCGTGGAGTTGATTCTGACCCACAGCGCCCCTAGAGGACAGAGTAGAACTGCCCCACAGGGTTTCCAGGGTTGTAATATTCAAGGAGCTCTGGTGGTGTAGTGCCTAAGGGATTTGACTGCCAGTTGTGAAGGCTGATAGTTCAAACCCACCAACCACTCCTTGGAAGGAAGCTTAGGCAATCTCGGAAACCTGAGGAAGGGTTGCTATGAGTTGGGTCCAACTCGCCGGCAGTGAGTTTCATTGGTTTTTGGAAAATCTTCATGGAAGTGGACTACCACGTCTTTCTCCAGTGGAGCTGTTACTTGGTTTGAACCGCTGACCTTTCGGCTGGCAGCTCAGTGCTTTAGCCACTGTACCATCAGGGCTCTATTCCCGAGAACAGACCCCTGAAATTCTCACCATCCCTGTAAAATGTGTAAAACTTGCAGCCTAATGATTTGGAATTTGGTACATTAACCATGCAGAAAGCGGGCACTGTAAGTTTGGATTATGTTCATGAACGGGAAGAATTTGACATAAAATGGGCGTTAGGTCTGGCCACAACTTTCACAGAAGGGAAATTATGCATTTACTCCTGCAATTCCTTCCAGCTGAATCCAACAGAAAATCAGGGCGCAAGTGCATTAATGAGATTTCCTCTGTGGTAACTCAACGTGGAGCCAGTATTTCCTGTTCCTACAGGCTGGTAGGAAATAGTTTTAACAGGGACCTAATCCTTTTTTCAAAGCAGCCTCTGCTTTGCAGCCAAACGAAGGGTAAGTTATGGTGTTCAAGGGGCAGCTCGCCCAACGGCCATGCCCTGCTAAACAGGTGATGCTGGGAAGCGGACCTCAGGTTCTTCATGACTGAGATGGTGACAGCAAGAGCACCCCCTAGGGGTGACTGACAGCCACCACAGGGGAGAAAGCGCTTCATCATCAGGGCTGGGCCCTGGTTCTAGGTCAAGAGAAAGAGAGCTGTCTGCAGCTGACGGGCCACCCGGCTTTGACACCCCACTCACTCTACCTTACTCCTCTAGCAGCACTGGAAGCTGCTGAGGGGCGGCCCAAGGAGGCCTGTCTCACCTGGTCGACAGAGCACAGAGGGAGCCGACGGCCACGGCGTACTTGGCGCCTTCCCAGCCCACGTGCTTGTAGGCGTCCGGCAGGGGACTCTCCGTGTCCAGGCAGAAGTAGGGCATCATGAGCGTGAGGGCAGCAGACACCCCAAAGTAGGCAACGAAGCAGATGAGGAGAGAGGCCACGATGCCCACCGGGATGGCCTTCTGGGGGTTCTTCACTTCTTCACCTACGGCAACGAGGTGTCAGTCCCGAGGAGGGCCACAGGTACCCCCAAAGCCTACGTGGCCCCTCGGCCGGACACGTCAAAGAAGCCCAAGCCCACCATGAGGAATGTCCCACAGAGCCTGTCCCAGGCAGGAGCCGGGGCCTCCCATGCTTTCAGGAGCTCAGGGGTGACCCTTAGAACCAAAAAGACCAGGTGAACGCCCCAGATGGTCCTCTCTTTATACAGCGGCTCAGCCAAGCAAAGTGGTGGGGGTGCCACACGCCCAGCCTGGCCATCGGCCATGGGGATGGTATCAGCAACGTGCTTGCCCTCCCTGACGACACACAGCCCCACCACACAGCCATATGAACAGTCGGCCACAGGGCTGGTTCTCCCTCTAGGCACTGCCACTCCGAGAGGTGAGGAAGGGATATAGATGAGCGGGCAGTTCTGAACCCACCAGGTACTCGTGGGTGAGAGGGGAACAATGGTCAGAGCCAACAGGAAGAAACAACAAGCCTGGGGAAACCGAGGCCCGGCCTCTCGGAGAGGAGGGGCCAAAGGTAGGGGCTCTGAGGGTGAAGTGAGCAGGTGGGGGGTGACGTACCTGTGGTGGCGATGCAATCAAAGCCCACAAAAGCATAGAAGCAGGTCGCGGCCCCCGACAGCACGCCAGAGAAGCCAAAAGGCAAGAAGCCGCCAACGCCAGGATTCTCGACTTTCGTGCTGTCAGGAAAAAAAGAACCACAATCAAAGCCCAAAGCACACGCAGCTCTGTACTCAGCTCCTGCAAGACAGCAATCCCAAACAGTCAGCCATGCAGCCGACCGCCACTGCCACCTGAGTGGCAGGTGGGACTCAGCACCTGAGTCAACGGCCCTGGGTCGCTGCTCCCCGGCCACTGGGCTCAGGCTCGCTGGGGACAAGGCGCTCTGTCTCGTGGGGCCCAGAGCTACAAGGGGATGCACTAAGCTATTTCCTGAAAATCAAAACCAAACCAAACCCTCTGCTGTTGATTCTGACTCTGTAGGGCAGAGCAGAATTGTCACATACGAGTTCCCAGGATGGGATGGAAACAAAGCCCTAACCAGACCCACTGCCGTGGAGTCCATTCTGACCCACAGCGCCCCTAGAGGACAGAGTGGAACTGCCCCACAGGGTTTCCAAGGCTGTCAATCTTCACAGAAGCAAAGCCCAAACCACACCCACTGCCGTGGAGTCCATTCTGACCCACAGCGCCCCTAGAGGACAGAGTGGAACTGCCCCACAGGGTTTCCAAGGCTGTCAATCTTCACAGAAGCAAAGCCCAAACCACACCCACTGCCGTGGAGTCCATTCTGACCCACAGCGCCCCTAGAGGACAGAGTGGAACTGCACCACAGGGTTTCCAAGGCTGTCAATCTTTATGGATATGCCTCATCATCTCCCCAGAGCGGCTGGTGAGTTTGGACCATGGACCATCTGGTTAGCAGCTGAATGCTTTAACCACAGCACCACCAGAAATCCTCCCTTTCTTTCCAGTCTGTCTTAGTCCACAAGTTCCACTAACAACTACCCACCATGGATGGATGGATGACCCTGTAGTATTGGAAATCCTGGTGGTAGAGCTTCCAGCCTCAAAGCAATGTGCAAGCCACCACCACAGGACAAACTGACAGACAAAAGGAGGCTCTTCCTAGAAGCACTGTATGTATATTGACTTTGGAAACAGAGCCACCAGACTAGAAACACCGAGCATGTTCATGCGTTGTGAAGAACGTAACCAGTGTTCTGGACTGACTTGTGTTGAACAGGGACCCACACAGCGGTGTGCACCTTCATCCAAAACACAGTAAAGTATTATTTTAAAAAAAGAAAAAGACAGCTACATGTGTGCCGACTTCTGTAGGGGAGAAGCGTGGCCCGAGAAGCAAGAGGCCAGCAGGAACCAGACACGGTGCCGTCCGACCCCAGACAAAGGGTGTGTGTGCTTTATAACCACATCTCGCAGCTACCCCTGTGCCCAGGAACAGAATGTGAAAATCAAGATCATCTCCTGCATTTGACAGCAACTCACATTGCAAAACAAGCCTTTGCAGAGAAACTCAGGTTCAAGAAGAGTAATAGGTTGTTGTCAACAAAACCACTTCATAAGCACCCGTCTGCACAAGGTAAACAGTCAGGGAGCACCCTCACCTGACACGGGTGGGGCCCGGCACCCAGCCTGGCTTCCGGCACACGGTCCGGCCTAGTAATGTTTTCTGAGTAAAGAAACACACAGTAAAGCGAACACGTGTTTATAAAGCCCCAGGAGTCCAAAAGAGGCTTGCCTCCCCAGCCACTCAGAACACGACTGAGCCAGCTGCGGGGGAGTCGACGGCGACCCACGGCGCCATGTGGGTCAGGATAGAGCTGCGCGCCACAGGGTTTCCAACGGCTGAGTTTTCGGAAGCACACTGTCTTCCGAGCCCTCTGATGGACACAAACCTCTGACCTTTGGGTGAGTGGTCAAATGTGGTGACCGTCTGCTCCCCTCAGGGACACCATTAAGAATGTAACTGCGATGAAGCTGAAAGCTGGGCATCAGAAACTGGGCTTCCAGGTCAGAATGACATCTTGAGGGCCTCTGTCCAGGACCTCCACTGATGGCCACACTGTGGCTCTTGGCACGGCCAGACCCAGACCCAATGTCACTGAGTCAATCCTGACTCATAGTGACCCCTGTTGGGTTTCTGAGGAGGTAAATCTTTACGGAAGCCGACTGCCCCATCTTCCTTCCAAGGAGTGGCTGGTGGGTTTGAACCGCCAACCTGCTGGTTAGCAGTCAAATGCCTTAGGCACTGTGCCACCAGAGTTCCTTCTCAGCACTTCAGTCTCCCCCACTGCATGGCGGTGGGCCACCCATGCCCCTCTCTGCTTGCCGGGCTCTCCTGGGCAGCCACTCCCGTTGGCATCCCTAGCCACTGTCTAAGCTGTGAGCCATACGGCCCACCTCTCCCAGACTAACCCTAACCACTGTTACGGATTGAACTGTGTCCCAGAAGGCAGCTGACAGCCACCAGACACTAAGAGAGACCACAGAGGAACTGACAGGTTCAGACCGTGGTTTGGGCTTTTAGCCTCCAGACCCAAGAAAATGAACTTCTGTCCTTTAAAATCATCCACTTGTGGCACTGTGTAATGACCCTAGATTACTAAATGGAGCCCTGATGGTAACAGTGGTTAAGTGCTCAGCTGCCAACCAAAAGGTCAGTGGTTTGAACCCACCAGCTGCTCCACTGGGGAAAGATGAAGCAGTAGGCTTCTGTAAAGATGACAGCCTAGGAAACCCTCTGGGGCAGTTCCACTCTGTCCTCTAGGGGCGCTGTGAGTCAGAATGGACTCCATGGCAGTGGGTGTGGTTTGGGCTTTGCTTCTGTAAAGATGACAGCCTAGGAAACCCTGTGGGGCAGTTCCACTCTGTCCTCTAGGGGTGCTGTGGGTCAGAATCTACTCCACG